TTGATCATTATGTAGTGTCCTTCCTTGTCTCTTGTAGCATTCTTTATTTTAAAGTCTATTTTATCTGATATGAGTATTGCTACTCCAGCTTTCTTTTGTTTTCCATTTGCATGGAATATATTTTTCCATCCCCATGGAATATCTTTTTCCATCCCCTCACTTTCAGTCTGAATGTGTCCCTATGTCTGAAGTGGGTCTGTTGCAGACAGCATATATATGGGTCTTCTTTTTGTATCCATTCAGCAAGCCTGTGTCTTTTGGTTGGAGCCTTTAATCCCTTCACACTTAAGGTAATTATCGACATGTATGTTCCTATTACCATTTCTTAATTATTTGGGGTTTGTTTTTGTAAGTCCTTTTCTTCTCTTGTGTTTCCCACTTAGAGAAGTTCCTTTAGCATTTGTTGTAGAGCTGGTTTGGTGGTGCTGAATTCTCTTAGCTTTTGCCTGTCTGTAAAGCTTTTGATTTCTCCATCGAATCTGAATGAGATCCTTGCTGGGTAGAGTAATCTTGGTTGTAGGTTCTTTCCTTTCCTCACTTTAAGTATATCATGCCACTCCCTTCTGGCTTGCAGAGTTTCTGCTGAGAAATCAGCTGTTAACCTTATGGGAGTTCCCTTGTATGTTATTTGTCATTTTTCCCTTGCTGCTTTCAATAATTTTTCTTTGTCTTTACTTTTTGCCAATTTGATTACTATGTGTCTCGGCGTGTTTCTCCTTCGGTTTATCCTGTATGGGACTCTCTGTGCTTCCTGGACCTGGGTGGCTATTTCCTTTCCCATGTTAGGGAAGCTTTCGACTATAATCTCTTCAAATATTTTCTCTGGTCCTTTCTCTCTCTCTTCTCCTTCTGGGACCCCTATAATGCGAATGTTTTTGCTTTTAATGTTGTCCCAGAGGTCTCTTAGGCTGTCTTCACTTCTTTCCATTCTGTTTTCTTTATTCTGTTTTGCAGCTATGAATTCCACCATTCTGTCTTCCAGGTCACTTATCCATTCTTCTGCCTCAGTTATTCTGTTATTGATTCCTTCCAGTGTAGTTTCATTTCAGTTATTGTATTGTTTATCTCTGTTTGTTTGTTCTTTAATTCTTCTAAGTCTTTGTTAAACATTTCTTGCATCTTCTCGATCTTTGCCTCCATTCTTTTTCCGAGGTCCTGGATCATCTTCACTATCATTATTCTGAATTCTTTTCCTGGAAAGTTGCCTATCTCCACTTCATTTAGTTGATTTTCTGGGGTTTTATCTTGTTCCTTCATCTGGTACATAGCCCTCTGCCTTTTCATTTTGTCTATCTTTCTGTGAATGTGGTTTTTTTTCCACAGGCTGTAGGATTATAGTTCTTCTTGCTTCTGCTGTCTTCCCTCTGGTGGATGAGGCTATCTAAGAGGCTTGTGCAAGTCTCCTGATGGGAGGGACTGGTGGTGGGTAGAGCTGGGTGTTGCTCTGGTGGGCAGAGCTCAGTAAAACTTTAATCCGCTAGACTGCTGATGGGTGGGGCTGGGTTCCCTCCCTGTTGGTTGTTTGACCTGAGGCAAACCAACACTGGAGCCTACCTGGGCTCTTTGGTGGCGCTAATGGTGGACTCTGGGAGGGCTCACGCCAATGAGTACATCCCAAAACTTCTACTGCCAGTGCCCTTGTCCCATCGGTGAGCCATGGCCACCTCACCCCTCTGCAGGCGACCCTCCAACACTAGCAGGTAGGTCTGGTTCGGTCTGCCCTGGGGTCACTGCTCCTTCCCCTGGGTCCCAATGCGCACACTACTTTGTGTGTGCCCTTCAAGAGTGGAGTCTCTGTTTCCCCCAGTTCTGTCGAAGTCCTGCAACCAAATCCCAGTAGGCTTTAACGTCTGATTCTCTAGCCATTCCTCCTTCCGTTGCTGGACCGCCTGGTTGGGAAGCCTGACGTGAGGCTCAGAATCTTCACTCTAGTTGTGGACTTCTGTGGTATAATTGTTCTCCAGTCTGTGAGTCACCCACCCAGCAGTTATGGGATTTGATTTTACTGTGATTGCGCCCCTCCTACCATCTCATTGTGGCTTCTCCTTTGTCTTTGGATGTGGGGTATCTTTTTTGGTGAGTTCCAGTGTCTTCCTGTTGATGATTGTCCTGCAGCTAGTTCTGATTCTGGTGTTCTCGCAAGAGAGAGTGAGAGCACGTCCTTCCACCTCGCCATCTTGGTTCCAATTCTCCCAATGACATCAGCAAGATGAGCAGTCTGAAGTAATGTCGCCCGTCTTTGAACAGTCAAATTAGTTCTGCATGAACCCAGCTGCTGACGTGGAGCACAGAGAAAACTCTTAAATTGAAGTATAGTTGATTTAAAATATTGAGTTAGTTTCAGGTGTATCATAGATGACTCAAACATATAAAAAGCTGTTGAAATTTACTCATCATAAGATAAATGCAAATTAAAACTATACAGAGATATTATTTCTCACCTGCCAGATTGACAATAATTCAAAAATTTGACAATGCACTCTGCCAGCAAGGCTGTGGGGAAACAAGCGCTGTCAGACAATGCGAGTGATAATGCAAAATGGTAATACCCCTGGTGAAGGGAATTGGGCAATATCTAACAATAATAATTATGTATTTACCCAAAAAAAACCCTTCTAGGAAACTATCTTGATAGTAAACCTCGACAAATATGAAAGAATGCATGTACAATGTTCTTCATTACAATATTGTCTGTAATAGTAAGATACTGAAAACAATCCAAACAGCCACTAATAAATCAAACTGTGGTACAGCTACATGACGGAGCCTTATGCAGTCATAACAAAAAAATTTGAAAGATTTCTATAAACTGATATGGAGTGATTTCCAGGATGTATTGTTAAGCGAAAAGAAAATGAGGTGCATATGGTATATTACCATGTAAAAACTAAGGGAACATAAGGATATGTATATATATTTGCTTGTTTTTTCAAAAAGAAAGAAAGAAAGGAACACAGGAAGGATAAAACAGAGACTAAGGAAAATATCTGTTTATGAAGCTGGAGAGGTCAGCGTGGAGGAAGAATGAGAGTAATACTTCTTTGAGTATACTTTTTTATATTGCTCTGACTTTGGAACCAAGTAAAAGTTGTTCGTTAAAAAAATGTAATAAAAAGATTTTAAAAAGCAAACCCTAAAATTGACTATATAAAGAAGCAAATGAATCTCTGTACCAAATTATTATCAAGATTTTTTTTTGCAGTCCCTTTTGACCCCAGAACATGTCTCACTAAGGATTTACAGAGGACTGTGTTCAAAGTTACTTGAATTACTCTGCTCTGTACTAAACACAGTACCCCAATTACACATCCTTGAGGGCCTTATATTCTAAAGAAAAGAAGGATTGCAAAATATTTAAACTCTACTTCATAGATTTATGTTTGGTAGTAATATCAGAATTGTAATTCTAAAGTTGTTTTTTATATATTGTAGAATAAAGCAAAAAAGTAAGTATGCTAATGCTGTTAGGAACTAAGATTTTCAGTGCAATCACGTAGAATGTTTTTGGTCTTAGAAGATGCCTGTGGAAGTTTTTCCAATGAAGCTTCATGATGTCCGCAACATTCTTTTAAATGATTGAGAGAGAGAAAAAAAAAGAAGTACAGTGATAAACATAAAGCAAAGGGAGCAAACCATAAGCAACTGTGAATCTAGTTGAAGGATAAACAGTGACCTTTGTATAATTCTAATTTTTTCAATTTTTCTAAGTTCAAAATATTTCAAGATAAAAATGTTTAGGATAAGTAATATATCTTATTTGGCATTTTATAAAACACAGTTTGCTATTTAACTCTAATCAGAAACACATCTTTTATATCAGTAAAAGTAAGCTAAATTTTGCTTCAGTGAGAAGCAGCATCAAAGTATCAAGGGCTTAGGAAATCAAAAGTTTATTTCTTGCTCATGCTCTCTAACCATTACAGTTAACACAGAGGGTCTGTGCAAAAGGAGAATGGGAGTTACTGGGGCTCTCTCACAAATAATGAAATGAACACACACAACTCATTAATCACGTGACCCACCCCACCCCTAAGGGGAGTCAGAGATGGGAGGTAGGGGAATATCTGATGAGTAGTATAAGGGACTCATAACTCGTTCATTATGTTTTATGTCAAAGTAAACACTGACAGACGTAGGACTTAGTCATTAAGAGCACAGACTCTGCAGCGAGATTATCAATCACAGTTCAATCGCTTGCCAGCTAATCTTGGGCAAATTATTTAATCTATTTTTGCCTCAGTTTCTTCCAGTATAAAAATTAGGTCTAATAAGAGTAACTGCTTCGGGGAAAGGTTAGGTGATTTAATACAGTAAAAGCATTTGAAATAATGACTGGCATACTACCATCATCAACAGCATTCTTATTTTACGGTATGAAATTCAGCATAATGCATTAAAGAAAATTTGTGATGCCCCTCCCGCAAATCAAACAGGAGAAAGATGTGCAATGAAAAGTAAATTTCTCTCACATCTGAGCCTGATCAACCAGTTTTTCTCCCCAGATAGAATTGTTACCAGCCCTGGCATTTATGAATTTATTGCCTTTAGACCCAAATCCCCCCTTCATTTCTCTGCTTGTGACAATCACACATCTTTCATTTTCCGGCTGACACGATGTTAAAGTTGGCCAGTAGGGGACGCTGAAGGGACTCTGGAAGAAAAATGGGCTTCTCTTCCTGGATTGAGTGGGCTTTGCGTTCTTCTTGCTCCTGTGGTGCTGCGCTGGTGTGTGGGAGACCCAACGATGGATCTCACCCCAGCAAGTTCCGTGGGTGCCCCCGCCGGTTCCCCAGGGTCAGCTCAGCGACAAGCCTGTGAAGCCGCTTCCTGGCAGCTTTCCAGTGAGTCCAGTCATGGCCCAGCCAGCTTCCCACAAGTTCCACAGCTCTTCCCATGAGGCAGTTTCCCGTTGAGTTTCATCAGCACCCCCCAGCTAGTGATTTCTTTCCCAGCAGCCTCAGCCTACAGTTTCCCCAGTAGAGGAATTTTCAGCTTGTCAGCCTGCCCTGTGACTTACAGTTTGTCAACCGTGGGCCAGCTCCGACCTGAGGCAACCCAGCAAAATACTACACCATCAGAGGGGCTGCCCCCTCTGTGTCCAACCTTGAGGATCTCACTCTTCCAGGTTCATTCCTTTATTCCTTTCTCAGACCTAGTGTATTCTTTTTTATTATTATCATTATTTATTATTGGAGTATATAGTTGATTTACAATGTTATATTAGTTTCAGGTGTACAACATGGTTGACTCCATATTTTTATAGATTATACTCCATTTAAAGTTATTATGAAATATTGGTTATATTCCCTGTGCTGTACTTTCATCCTTGTATCTTATTTATTTTATACATAGTAGTTTGTACCTCTTAATCCCTTCTCCCTATCTTGCCCCCCGACACTGGTAACCACTAGTTTGTTCTCTATACCTATGAGTCTGTTTATTATTTGCTATCTTCATTCGTTTTATTTTTTTAGATGCCACGTGTAAGTGAAATATAAAATATGTCTTTCTCTGACTTACTTCCCTAGGCGTAATACACTCCAGTTCCATCCACATTGCTGCAAAGATCAAAATTGCATTCTTTTTTATGACAGTAATATTTCATTAATATTTCATATATATATACATACACATATATATATGTTTATTCATCTGTTGATGAACACTTAGGTTGCTTCCATAGCTTGGCTGTTGTATATAATACTGCTATGAACACTGGGGTACATACATCTTTTCAAATTAGTGTTTTCATTTTCTTTGGCTATATACCCAGGAATGGAATTCCTGGATCATATGGTAGCTCTGTTTTTAATTTTTTGAGGAACTTCTATACTATTCTCCATAGTGGCGGTACCACTTTACATTCCCACCAACAGTGAACAAGGGTTCCCTTTTCTCCACACCCTCTCCAGCATTTGTTGTTTTGTGGTCTTTGTGATGATAGCCATTACGTCAGGTGTGAGGTGATATCTCATTGTGGATTTTATTTGCATTTCTCTGATAATTAGTGATGTTGAGCATCCTTTCATGTGCCTATTGGCCATCTGTATGTCTTCTTTACAAAAATGTCTACTCAGGTCTTCTGCCCATTTTTTAATTGGGTTATTCGGTTTTTTGAGTTGTATGAGCTGTTTATATATTTTGGATATTAACCCCTTATCAGACATAACATTTGCAAATATCTTCTCCCATTTGGTAGGTTGTCTTTTTATTTTGTTGGTAGTTTCCTTCACTCTGCAAAAGCTTTTAAACGTAATAAAGTCCCATTTGCTTATTTTTTCTTTTGTTTCCCTTGCCTGATGTGACAGATCCCCCCCAAAAAAACATTGCTGGGGTGATCCTGGCAAGCCAAGCCTGATCACCAGGCAGTTTTCTGTCTGCTGCCTCCATGCTGTGAGCACAGTTTTCAAGAGTGGACTCTTGGTTTCTCACAGCCCTAAGGTAAACTCCACTGCTTTTCAAACCAGCTAAGTGTTCTCAGGGTCGGAAGCCCTAGGGTATTATTCAGAATTCTCTTATTCCCATTTAGTAAATTATTAATTATTTTCCATATTAAACCTTCACTATTCAAATTATTGTGTAATTTCTGTCTCCTGAATGGATCCTGACAGATAAAACAGTTCCTTGTAGTAGAGACATTCTATGCCTATATAATGTGTGTGTATAGATAGACAGACAGATAGATCATACCTTTTTGTTATATAAATAGCAATATTATATACAGTGTTTGTCTAACTCAGCCATCATTGCATATAGATTTATCTCATTTTTAACAGTTGTATAGTATTCCATTATTATAGACTGCCATTAGATGGCATAAATTATGCCATAATTTATTTAACCAGTTTCCTATTAATAGAGAGTGAGATTATTTCCAGTCTTTTTCTTCACAAATAATATAATAGTATTCTTACTTGATAGGTCCATATCCCTATGTGCAAACATACCTTATCTGAAAAATCACTTCCTGGAAAAACTCTACCTTCTTAAATTCTCTCCAAACTATTTCTATGTCCACTTCTGCCACTGTATTATAGGCATTTTTCTTTTAAAAAAATTAATATTTAGTAATTTTCATTAATTAGAACTAAGAAAGCATTTTGTATACATTTTAATTGTTTAAAGAACATGTAAAATCCGTGAAAAACATATTCCAAGAAAGAGTATCATCAGATGCTTTGAGACAGGCATGGGCATGCATAGATACACACACAGAAACTTTATGTGTTCCCAGAGCATAAATTTCTTCTTGAGAATCCATTACATGCTTTCAAAAGTTAGTAACATTTTCCTCACACTTGTGCCAAATTGGCCACTAAAGTAATATAAAAATGGCTGAAAATGTTTTAATATATTCTGAAATACTCCTCAATATAACTTTATTCAGCATTTCATTCTTGTAGCAGTTAACTGACTGTATCAGGTACCACTTCTTTTATTAATACGTCTGTTTTCTAGACCATTGAAACATATTTTGCTCTTCTTTCCCCTATTCTCTATCCAGTCAGTCCTCAGGTCATATTATTCTTTTTCTTTTCCTTTTTTGAAAGTGAGGCATATTGAGATATAATTTCTATATAATGAAGTTCACACTTTATAGGTATACGATTTTGATAAACGTATATGACTGTGTCAACTCCACCACAATAAAAATACTATATAAAGTATTTCCAACACCCCAGAAAGTTCTACGTGCCTCTTTATAGTCAACTCCTACCCCCACCCCAGCCCCTGGTAACCACTGATCTTATTTCTATACCAATAGCTTTGTCTTTCTCAGAGTCATACAGTATGTAGTCTGGCCTCTTTCACTTAACATAATGCTTTTGAGATTCATCCATGATGTTGTAGTATCAGTACTTCACTCCATTTTTATTGCATAGTATTCATTCATGAAGGTAAAATGTAGTCATCCATTTACCAGTTGAGGCTTACAGGTTTTTGTGATTATGAAAAAGCTGCTCTAAACATTCCTATACATGTTTTCACTTTTCTTGGGTAAATATCTCAGAGCGAGATTGTTGGGTTGTACGGTATGTGTATACTTAATTTTGTAAGACACTGCCAAACTGTTTTCCAAAGTGGCTGTACCATTTTGCATTCCCACCAGCAACAACTGAGAATTTCTGTTGCTCTGCCTTTGGCCTTCTTTAATTCTGATGGAATTACTGCAGTAGTCTCTGGAATGACCTCTTCGTTCCATGCCTTCCAAACTCTGATCCATCCTTCAAACTGAAACCAGACCAAGACTCTAAAATGCCCTCCATTCTTAAGTGGCTTTGACTTCCTCAGGATAAGATCCAGACTCTCCGGCCTGACATACAGCTCAGACTCTTCGAGCTCTGCGCTCCTTCTCACGCACCCTCCCAACAACATCCATCCATTGTGTTCCACTCGGGCAGCTGGACACAGCCGAGCTCTACTTGCTCTGAGTTGCAGAGTGGACCACTCTCTGTCCCACCTCAGTGCTTCTGTGCAGCCTAAGGCACTTGTTTGGGCAGAGCATTTATTTTCTACTTTGTATTCCCAAGATGAAAGCACCCTCTGAATTTTGGGTAGTGTTGGCATTTATGCAACTATCTACCAGGGAACTTTTTTTTTCTTCAACTATGTTTTATGAACATTTTCAAAAATTCAGGAAAGTTGAAAAACTAGTGCAATGAACATCCAAATTCAGTTCAACAATTGTTAACATTTTGTTACATTTGCTTCATTTATCTACCATATATCCATCCTTCACCTCCTCCGCCCCCTTCTTCTTCTGCAAAGCTATTTCAAATTTCATATTGCTGCTAAACCACTTGCTAAATCCATCTCAGGTGTATCTATCTCCTAAAAATGAGAACAACCTGCTACATAACTACACCACTTCTACACCCAAAATAAAACAACTTCTAATATAGTCTAACACTATCTATATGGGTATTTTTCCAACTGTCCCCAAAATGTATTTCATCGTGTTGTCTTCCAGACCAAGATCCAGTCGAGCTTTATACACTGCATTTATCCCCCAGTGTATATTTATCTTTGACTGAGTCTCAGTTTGCTCAGCCACATGCTTCTGTTAAGCTAAATGACTCAGTTCTGTCCCTGCCCTTCCTAGGAATCTCCTGTGAAACCCCAGCTCCATTCAAAATTCCTGGGACTTTTTGTACTTCCCAGAAGCCTATGCTTAAATCTATTGGAGATTCAATATTTTGTATTCCAAAGCTCTTGAACTTTTGTATTTCCCCTATCAGACTCTGAGCAGAGCATCTTGAGGGCAAGGACGGGTGTTCTTCGCCTCAGTAGTCTCCCCACTACGTAGTAATTGCTCAATACCTATTTAAAGAATAAATGGTGGAATATGGTTTCTCTTCACTGTGAAGAGCTGGAATGAATAAATGGACTCTAGAGGGCTGGGAGTCAGGGAGAAGAGGGTAAAGGGCAGGTACAACAAGAGTCTGAGAGGTCATTCCAAATGCAGAATATTGCTCAGGGAACTTTGGGTATGAATCGTATATGACTTCCCGTCTCTCAGGAGGCAGTATGCTAGATGTTTACCATTAGCTGGAAACAAATCTAGAATCCAGCCGCGCTATAGACATTCTGGGCCAGATAATTCTAGAGAAAGAATTATAAACACAAAAACGAAGAAGACTGCATCCCAATGGTCCATTTTTGTTTACGTAGCTATTCTGCTGCTGCTTTCCTACTGTGTTTTGAAGGAAACATCCACTCCCAGTGGGTCCCTGGGTTGGACCGGGATCAGAGCTTTGTGCCCACGGTGAATGGGGGAAATCACAGTGCATCCCCTCTGAATTCCCAGGATGAACTCTCTTTCTGAATATTAGCCTTTGCTGCAGTTCAGCTTTTATCTTGGCGGCAAATCTTTTCCTTTGATAAACTTCTTTCAGTTACCTCCTTCTTCTCCACTTCCAACCACCTATGGAATTAATTCCGGGATGATATATTAATTCTGTTTCCAGAGTGACTCTGAGACTGTACACAAGGACTATTTTAGGTGGAGTGTTTCCTCTTGAGTCACCTTGTCCCTTGGTAGCAGGCATCCTGCGGATTTCCTCAGCTCCACTGTTGAGAACAGGAAGCCAAGGCCAAAAGCAGCCAATAAGCACGGCAGCCCGG